GCCCACTGCAGCGTAGGATCTATGCCCACTGCAGCGTAGGATCTATGCCTACTGCAGCGTAGGGTCTATGCCCACTGCAGCGTAGGGTCTATGGTATGCGTGTGTGTTTGCCTACAGGTAACCCTTCAAATTTCCTCTTCTTGTGTTCTCTATCAAATCAACCTTTATGTGTAAAAAAACACAGTACAAATGTAACGTTAAAATTTGTACACAAAATTTGCTTTGCTGCAATCTGAAATGCTTTGCAATGACTTACCAAGCTGACGAATAGTTCCATATCATCAGCATCCTCACATACAAATGCCAGCATGTCGTTGGTTGGAATAGCATGCTCTATATATTTGGCATGCTCCTTGTTTGGAACATTAATCTGAAAAAAAGTTGCAAGTTTTACAAATTTTTCTTGAAACTGAAACACAAGAGCAATCATTTTCATGCCACTTCAAGATATTAACAAAGGATTCTTAAAACCAAAACCTTATTTACAGTTTTTCTAGCAGTCTGATCATAATCATTTCATTTCCTATCTACAATGAACCTTTACCTAGGATTTGCAATTCTCAGGACCCGGGGTGTTTATCCTATACGTCCTTGCTTGTGAGTGAAACTACAAGGCAAAGCTCTACCTTCAACCTTGGAACTTTGGCATGACACTAAAAGAACCCTCCTAAATTTGCCCTGGAATATTCTTTGTAATCAAATAAAACTGGGATTCTGTCTGATTCATGTCAACTACCAATGGCTGGGATACACAGTTGGTGTTATGTTGCATATCAGACTTTGAATTTTTTGAAAGATGAACAGAAAGGAGCACTTATTTTGATTGATTACAATGTGAGGTAAAAGGCCCATACCACTTACCACTAATGCCACTGGTTCATGAATCTTGTGTTTGAACATATCTTGATTTGAACGTAGCCATTCCACAGCATTGTATGTATCTCGATAGTATTTCTGTAACTCTCCCAAACGCATGTCTTTCTGGTCATTCAAACGTCTCAGACGTAATTCCAAATCTGCAAAAAGAAAATCATGTAGTAAAGTCTTCCTCTTAACTTTCACAAGAAAGCAAATAATTACAATTGCAAAAGCTTTTACATTACCTTCAGACTGGTTTGGGGATGGCTTACAAGCATAAATACTTTCTAACATAAATAAACAGTTGATTAGAGAGAATGTGACCTAGTACATGTTATGTTCATCAAATCAGTTCCCGGCTCATCCCACTCAAGTCTGACATAGAATGAAGTGGACACCAGACATCACAAACTGCCTTCTGCAGATTGTGCATGCCATAACTTGCTGAAAATAATTCCGTCAGCTTAAGTTTTACACCTAATTATCGAGTCATGAAATAGCAAAATAGGACTTCTTTATATTACCTCTTTTCTCTCTCTGTAGAGACTCGCGTTCTGTTTTGATGCCATTGTACTCTGTATCGATACCACTCACTTCTCGGACAATTGCTCGCAGTGAAGCAGCATTCTGGTCCAGTTGTGGCTGTAATTACAGTGTCACATTTATAATACTCTATTATAAAGATATACAGTAAACTCCAACTAAGTCGACATTGCGTAACCCGTCATATTGTCCAAGTCGGCCGTTTCACAAAAGTCCTGATCGTCTGTAATGCATTTCCATTCAAATTTCAATTCTAAGTCGGCATTTATACGCTGTCATTTCGTATATGTCGGCATGTTTTCCTCGGTCCCTTTTCCACAAAACCACAAAAATTACTTTGTGTAAGTCGGCATTAAAAAATTGCGCTTCGGTATCAGTTTCCTTCCCCGCCATTGCCAAGAAGTGTCAACTGACAAGTCCCATGCACCTGCAGCCAGCACGAGTACATCAATACCAGTAACCCCTCTAGTGCTACACGCATGCGCTCTGTCCATTTTGGGGGTTACCTTATTGAACATAGTCTGGTTCCCTGCCCAAAGATTCCCGGACGACCCTTGATAATGATTCATTGGGTAGTCAGGATCATCAGGTCTTATATCCAGACTACATGGAACGAACTTAACCAATGCACGTGTGTGGATGACTGTATGTTTTCAGTACTTTAACTGTATCACATACAGTACTGCACTATCGAGTCGCAATGTGATATGCAACTTTGGAAGTGGCTTGCCATACTTGCTTTGTCCTTAGGGGCACACGATCAATTATTGAATTTGCAGGATAACAATCGAGAACGAATTTGCAGGGATCGATCATGGAGGTAGAAATAAACCAGGGTAAATCAAAGCCATTGAATTAGTGCAAGGAATCATAATGTACATAGGCAATACATGTGTACTTGTAAGCCGGCAAAATGATGACTTACAACACAAGTCGGCATTCGCGTAAGTCGTCGTAATTTTTTGAGTCCCAAGAGTGCCAACTTAGCCGGAGTTTACGAAATTATCTTGAATCTACCAAAGCTTCACATGGCACTGTAAACCGATGCCAAACTCTTATTTTTTAGAGAAATTTCAGAAATACATCCCCTTCAAAATAAGACTTACCTTAATGTCCTCAACAGGAGGTATTTGTTCCAGTTCCTTCTGCCATCCTTCCACCAAACTGAGGTGACCTCTTATCCTGGAAATTCAAGAATACAAGTCTCTACAATCACTGGGTGTACAGCTTTACTTTGGGTAAAGATCAGGCAAGAGGAGGTCAAGAACTATCAAAACTAATGTCCGAAATCTCTGATGGAGAAGAAATGTTGTGCAATATGAAAGTGGACAAACAGTAGGAAAACTGTGGGGGGTTGTGTACTGATCAAAAGAGATTTTTGGCTTGAATGTACTTGAATCACAAGAAACTATCTACTGCTTATTCCCATCAAGTATTAAATCCACTTTCACTCAATTTGTATCTTGATGTCCATCTTGACATTACATTGAAACTGATGCATGGTTAGGACAACTTCCTGGCATAAAGAATTGTTGTCCAACTCACTTTGCTTGTCTTTTCTCTTCATCCTGCTGTTTAACTCTCAGCTCATCTTGTATCTCAGTCAAATCACTGGAAAACTCATCAATCTTCTCATGCTTTTTATTGGCAGCGTTGGCCAACTGCCGTGCTTCATTGGTCTGAGAACAAAATATTTCCATTCAATATATCTTTAACTTCCTGCCTGTTTCCTTTCCAATAGTGACAAATGCAGGTCTTTAAACTAAATAAAAGCCTGATCAGAATCAAACAAGAGATTGATTTTAAGTACTGCTCCAACACACAAGCCAAGAAGGAACTAGAATAACTCGGTCATTACACAGCAATAGTCTGGAGAACTGATTTGTTAATTTATATCAGTGAAAGTCAGAAGTGAATTGATGAGATCCATGCAGCAGGAAGCAGAGAACACACACCATACTGATAATGATATTATTCCAAGTTTGCAGGTGGTTTATTTAAACATGAAAATGCTTAAGCTTTTCCACTAACCATTTCCTTGCTGACAGTGTCCAACTCTTGAAGCTTGGCTGTTAAGGTATCCAGTTTTTGTTGAATGGGTGCATTAACAGCTTGTGCTTCACGCAGCTCAGTCTTCAAAGCCTCTTGTCTCTTCTTTAGATCCACGTACATTTTACGCTTGGTATCATACTCCTTGAAGTTAATGCCAACACCATTAATTACCAAATACATCCTAGTACCTTCATGTTTGTTAGTGAAGGGAACAGGACAAAACTCACCCCGTTTCTCATCCACTTACAACCTTTTGATACCGTTGACCATGGAGAGTTTCCAAATGACCTCTACCATTTCAATTATCTCTCGTTTCCATATGACCTCCAACTTACTAAATGACCTCCAGCCTCCCTCAGTGACCTCCAGCCTCCCTCAGTGACCTCCAGCCTCCCTCATTGACCTCCAGCCTCCCTCAGTGACCTCCAGCCTCCCTCAGTAACCTCCAGCCTCCCTCATTGACCTCCAGCCTCCCTCATTGACCTCCAACCTCCCTCATTGACCTCCTACCTCCCTCAGTGACCTCCAGCCTCCCTCATTGACCTCCAGCCTCACTCAGTGACCTCCAGTCTCCATCAATGACCTCCTACCTCCCTCAATAATCCCTACTTCTCTCTCAATGATATTTAGCTCCTTAAATGACCAATGCACAATGATCAAAAATTCAAAGTCACCTACCACCCAGGCCTTTTTCTTTTCCAATGTCTCAATGACCTCCAAGTGATGTTGTCTTTCTTGGTAGCGTTTCACATCTGCCTCCAGACGACTGTTTTTCTCAGTCAACTTCTCAAGATGATGTGACATCTCCTGGTGTTGAAGGAGCATTTCTTTTTGCTCATTACGAAAGTTTTTCAGACGACAATGCTGGTCGAATAGCTCAGGGGATCCAACCTGATTCAAATGCACAGAACATGATGAGATGTGAGCAAATGCGAAAAGGAAGATTTTTTTCTGCATACATGCTTAACCCTTACCCTGCCAGACGCAGCACAGTCCATCAGGTGAAAAGATCTGATGCACTTTGATGCACTTGGCAATCAACAGCAGCTGAACAAAATGGCCATAGATCTTGTGGTGACTGACAACCACAGACTCCAAGGCTCTTTGGCCTTGGGGAGAGTTGACCTGTTTGATCTTGTTACACTGGGCAGGCAAGCCACTTTGACAATGATGCAGACTGATGCGTCTGGCAGGGTTTGTAGTCAAAGTAGGCTGGAGGGTACATTTATAAGGGTTGAAGGGAATATTTCTAGGCAGCAAAGTACCTGCTGATCACAACAGAAGAAATGATGGTCCCAAATCACAATAAACTATTGTACGCTTCATTTATAATGGCTTAACAATATCAATGCTTGCAGGTACTACACAGCAATCGGATATACTGAACAATATCAATGCTTGCAGGTACTACACAGCAATCAGATATACTGAACAATATCAATACTTGCAGGTACTACACAGCAATCAGATATACTGAACAATATCAATGCTTGCAGGTACTACACAGCAATCAGATATACTGAACAATACTTACCGCTTTTTCAGTGTTTTCAAGCAGTTCTACATTTGACATGTTTGCAAACTCAACCACTTTGTCCTGGTAAGATACAAGGGGAAAAAATGACAAAATAAACTTTCCACCTGAAAACATTTCTGTTTGGAATTAAGAGTCTAATTTGTTTGAACTACTGGTTTTCTTTTTCTTAAACAGCCAACTTACCTGTGGTAGAAACTGGCAAAGGTTACTGATCTGAATATTCAGACTCTTGACTTTGTCTTGGACATCTCTCATATGACAGCGACTGCCATTCAGAAACCATGTTGTCCGGTTCCCTTGTTTGGTAATAACACGTCGTATGATGACATTCTTTGGATCTTTATACAACTCCAGCTCAATTATTGCTTCATTACTACCATGCTTCACAAACTCACCAACCTGCAAATCATATCCAAAGATTAAAGTATGTAGATTATATTTTTGAAAAGCTCACTAATTTATTAATCTACATGTATTTCAAAATTTCCTAAGAAAGCAACAATACATGTAAGCAGCAGAAGTATATTTAACATAACGCAAGTGCAGCTTTTAACAACCTTTTGTACATTTTGTACAATATTCACAATTCATTCTAATAATTCCCTTTATATAAATTTCTTTGGTTTTCCAGAAGCATGCCATGTCTTTTAAATGGTCATATACATGATGGGAAGGAAAAAGGACATTGTGTTATACAACCGTCAAATAAAAGTTCAAGTGCAACTTCAGTACATATCCCGTGTATATCTTTTTTCTTTTCACTGCTAATTTTCACTTCTTGTTAATCAAGTCATAGAGTGATATTTCTGGAAGAGAAAGGAGTAAATATGTGATATATTGGATGACCTGACCTCTTTAGCTCGTCCAAGCAAACTGGTACTCCCTGCAAGACCTAAGCACATAGCGCATACCACTGTGGATTTGCCTGTTCCATTGGGACCCATGATTACATTTAGATGAGGACCAGGACGGAATTCACACTTGTCATAGGTTCTATTAATAATCAGAAAAAGATAAAGAACAACAGTAATTAAGTAAATCTAAATAAACGGAGAAAAGGAGACTAATTTCAAGCTTAAGATTCCCATGGTGGAGTGCACAATATAGCAACTAGTTGCAAGATATTGTTTCTACACCTGCAACCTTTCTATCTGCTCAACTGTAGTTCGGCGTGCCCCAAAACAGTTTTGGTAGTAAATGCACATACTAGTGGACACAGCTGGGACACGATTAAATGACTTAACACATTTTTTCATAACATTTGTCAGTCAACATGTTTGAGAACCTGAAACAAACTTTGTACAATATCTGAATAAATCCCTGCCATTTGATTGGTGGGTTGTTAGTCCAGACTCATAGAATAATTCATGCTTAGCAAATATATTTGGCGGTTAGCTTAGTAACACTGCAAAATTCTAATTCACAATATTTACTCACAAACAGAAGATTCTTAGCAGTAATAAAATGATTTTTTTACTCATAGGCGATGCAGGCATTTTTTTAGGCAGGGATTTGTTTATAATTTATTTAAAAATAATATAGAACAAATTATGAACATTGGGATTTTTGCAATTAGCCAATCTTCATAATCAGTCAAGCCTGCGAGAAATCTTGAATTGTAATGTCACTTTCCCTTTTCAAAACAATCTTCAGTAAACATAATTTATTTTTATTTGAAGAAATGGTGATTGAAATTAACAGATGTTTGCAAAATGATCAACCAATCAAGCATGTATCAACTAACACTGATCACACCCAAAAAATGTTTAAATACTGTAAAAACATTCCAAACGGAAAAAAATTATCTGGTCAGAATTCCATATATGAAAATCAATAATTTTTTCTATATCAAAAGTGATAATACATCCTAAGATGTAAAAATTTGCAGGAAAAAATTGAAGAATTAGAAAATACTTGGACTTTTTCAGACCGATCTGATAGGGTTTGTGCACAGTGTCAAATGATACTAATGTATGGAACTTGTTCCAATGATCCATTCCTCAAAGCTTCAAATGATAATGGAGGTAGTGGAATATTTCTACTTCCATGAATTAATTTCAACAGCTCCATGACAAAATCGTTCTCCAACGACCTGACAACATGAATCATATTTGTGAATGATGTAGGCCTAGGGGGGGCTTACCACCACTGCATCCAACCTTGGCCTAATAGAATACATGTACATGAAGGTCTATGGTGTTTATCTTCAAAATTTTCATTTCAACATGTTTAATCCACAGTGCAAATTGTACGACGTTTACTTTGACAGAATAACACAGATGCATGTAGCAAAAATAATGTTTTCAATCATGCATCACTGAGTCTGACTACTTCCAGAGTTGTATTAAGGTTTGCATAAACCTCACAGTTCTGGAGGTAGAGGAATTCTCGCAGTCAGGATGACATCACCAAGTTTTGATTCTTCTCGATGATTGGTCAGTTGGTAGCTAATCCAACTTTCACTCTTGAAACTCAAAAAGGAAAAAAAAGTGTCGCAGTCTATGGGGAAAATCTGAATTATTGACTAAACTCTTAACTTAAGCTTTAGGCCGAGGCCTACATCAAATATGTCCGAAATTTCACTATTTATGCACTATGGATATCTCACACACAAAAGGTTTTAGTTATGTTTATCAAGTTGCAGCAAAATAGGAGTAGAACATGAAAATCCCTGTACAAAGTGAATGGAGAGTTGCCCCTTTGCCCAGACGTGTGTGCTATAAAAAATGGAACAACCTCAGACCGCGAGAATAAGAACTGAATCAGCATTGTAGTAAGTAGGCTATGCTATGGGAAATAAAATTTACACAAAGTTTTCCATCAAAATGCGCACGACAGATCCTTCGACGAAGCTCTTGGATGTGCCAGGTTTCCTCGATGATTTGCCAGAGACACCGTTGACCATAACAACATCGTTACGGTTGACATTTCGTCCAGGTATCTGATGCAAATCAGCTTCCCGTTTCCTACTCTTGGACGCCATGATTGCGCCTCCTATTTATTGCACACGATTTTCGCGGCGAATTCGTACATAATTATGTACGCCCCAACTAGAGCGTCTGTCCCAACTATATTGGGACAGTCCCAACTGCAGTTGGGCTGGCCCAAATATTGTTGACCAATTTCTACAGAAATTTTACTCAACTTTATTTCAATTTATGTATCTTACATTTGACACAATCCTTCTAAAATATGGCACTTCAGCAGTGATATGACACTGTGAACAATGAATATGACTTTGGCACATGCTGGACACATGCACACTAGACCTCTGTGCTGTAGTTGGGCCGGCCCGACTAGAACTATGGCTGCATTCCACCAAATCGTTGTATTTCTGCGCGCGAGCTAATTAATATTTTTTCAATAAGATCAAAGAAATATTTCTATAAATCCCGAATTTGGGACTGATAGTTTCCAGTTCGGTGTATTTCTCTCACAAAAAGCACCAAATTGCTGGCCTATTTTGGATAGAGGCGGGCAGATACATTCAGAAATGAGCGCTTAGTTTTACTGCTATTTGGGGGGTATCTTGCTTGAAAGGCGAATAAAAATTTTTTTCGTGGCTAACCTCCATGCAATTGAAACGGAAAGTGATTTTCACGCCATAATCTTGAATTCCCAGTGGAAAAACGGAGGCCAACCTCTTCACAAGAGTCAACAGGCGGCGCTATTTCGGTCCGATTTTGCACAAGTGTTTTCCAGTAATGGCACGTATCTGGTGTAGTGCAACCCTATAGCCCTCTAGGGGTGCAGACCACTCATTCAAGTGAGAATTTTTGACCAGCTCATTAGCATTAAAAGTGCTCCCACGGTTTCTTTTGAAAAAAGAGATTGTGTGGCCCCCAAATGGTGAGTCGCCAGGATCAACTCCCCTTGGTCTTTGAGCTTTCATATGAGAGAGCAGAAGGGCTAAAAACTAAAGCTGAGGGTTGCCACTTGAAAAATGGCTTTAATCAGACTTCGGAAAAATCACTCTTTGGGGGATGATTTTGTTTTGTGAGAATAATTAAAAATGTAATTGGTTAACCCACAAAGAATTGAAAAGAAATGGAAAGATAAGTGACCAGACAAGGATTTCATTTGTGTTTCAGAAATCTCAGGGATGTTGGCATGCATGCTATTGGGCCCTGAACGTGCTGATTTTACACTGTTTTCAATGGGGCTTGAATTAGTGGACCCATCAGAATCATGAGGAATCTTTACCTTTGACTTAAAAGTGTGTCCGTTGACAGAGGGCGCCCTAATGCATTAACGGTGGAATATCCTGCTGATAAAATAACTTTTAATGAAAAAATATTGCAAACTTCGGAATAACCATTTTGCTGCTATGAATATTGTTTAGAGGGTGGTACAGGTAGTTGCTTTTGTCAAGCAAGGAACTCTCGTCAAACGAGCAGGGGGAAAAAATGAAAAAAAAAAGAAAGAAAATTATTCCCCAAATTACCTATTAACAAAGTTTTGAAGAAATATTGGCCATGTCTAAACTAAACTGATTCCTGTATGGCTGGAATTACCTTTTTGGTTAACCCATGAATTCTTGCTGTCTTCTCCCCGGAAAGGGGGGCTGGTGTGAGGGCCATATTTTGATCTGCTTCACATTAATCTCGTTTGAACATGGTGAATCGTCCTCAAATAAGTGCAAATCCTAAAATATGTCGGCCATTTTGCATTGGTTTGTCGTGACGCAACATGTACCTGCCCGTTCATAACAACCTGCTCAAGAACACCATTCCTGTGTTAGTCGAGTGTGGTCAAGAACTGGGATTCAAAAATGCTCTACTGTTCTGCCTTGGATGAATACACTTGACTCATGAATATGCAAATTTTCATCAGCATGGAAACTTAAGTGTCAAAGGTTTTCCCTTTTACTTCTTCAAAGGAGGTGGAAATTCATTGTGACAATGCAAGGAAGCTTTCCTACATCTACAATATTGAAGTCATGGAAACCCTATTCTGTGTCTACTTTAACAAATATAATGTACCATGTATGCTCTTTCCCATAGCAGTTTTCTAGAATGATAAACAATCTTGAATGCTCATACAGACGTCAGTAAACTGACTCAAGGCATTAATTATCAACCTTAACCCTCCTTTGGTTTTACAGCACAAATGTGCACAAGTGCCCACAGTCGCTGGTGAGCATGTAATTTCTATATGGAACTCAAACATGCACAGGTTCAGTGTGTGCACAGTAGATTGCCAGCACAAAATGACCCAGGGTCTTTTGTGCAGTCCTCTTCACGGCAGTAACAAAGATTTCAACATTCAATTTATTGACAATCATGAGAAACCTCATAAATCATAGAACTATGGAAAATATATAAAGGCATACAATTGGCTTATGAAATGTTTTCATTTCCCAATGTGCAACTTGTCTGGAGTTGGCCAACCACCAGATGAATGAAACCCTGAACATTAACTGCCAAATTGATCCATAACATCCCTTAAATTCATTTGAAGTTAAATCTATTAATTATCAGCCTTAATAATCAACCTTAACATTCTGAATTGATGTCAGTATACCTGTGTGCTGACATACAAGAAAAATGAAAACATACCACGTGTCAACAACCTTGTAAACGTACATGTACGCTAATCATTGGGCCCTGGGATCAGTATCAAACCTCTGCAGGTCTCTCGCGACAATTCATAAAATGCAAACCAAAGGAAACCTTCATATCTAGCCAGACTTTCCATCAAGTTACCGGTATCCAAACTAATGCATAGTAAATGTACATGTACAAGGAAGTGAGGAAGTGGGAAATTAAATGCTCACATTACAGATACGTTGCATTAACAACCGTTGCATTATTCGTAGTATTTTTATGCAACAAATTATACAACATGACATCATCTGTGTTGTCAGTTAAGGTATGGTCCCTATGGTGAAATTTCCAGTGTCAACACGTTCACAACTACAGACGTGGACATTACATTATTTCATGTACCCTTTTTTGTCGTGGCAATGACTGTACGTTTACGCCACTTGTTCCAATGTATTCAGACATGTCAGAATTGGTTATTCATTAGGAACTAAAACAGTGAGATCTCTTTAGTTGACACTGGTTAAAGTGAAACAGGCCTGATTGTATGGTACATTTGATATTGTTTGGATGTACGTAGCAAACCGTTCTTCCGGTAACTTCAGCTCGTCACAAAGAGACAGGGTTGTAGAAGCAGTGCAACACCTTATTTTAACACCTGATGATGATGTCACGATGACATCAGAATAATACTTGTATGCACTCAAAACACTTGAAGGAGAAAAGCTGCAGAGAATTATTGTTACTGGAAAGGAACAAAGATTCATTCAAACAATTGTAAAGGGGTGACCGTGCTGTGCCCGATCACCTAGTTATCAGATACAGCTCCATGTTCCAATAACTCTGCCGGATCCTTTGGGTTTCTTCAAGGATTTGCTGGAGTCATTGGAGTCATACATGAACCGGTACCTGGACCTTGCCATGTTTACCTTAAAGAATTGCCTGTCAAGGAGTAAGGTCTGTTTATTGTGTTTGACACTTAATGTCCAAGTATAGTAATAGGTCTTGCAAATTCGCCCTTTATGAAGAGCTACATATTTACATGTATTTAACAAAGTTATGACCTTTGCAGTAACATTGGTATGAGCATAGGGATACTGTATCTCCCTACGTGTACATGCATTGTGACCAATTCACTGCATCATAGAGACATGTACATGTACGTGTAGACCAGCTGAATTGTTGAAGACTAAGCAATACGAGTACATAAATGATAAATATTTATGAGTCACGTAAATTTAGCTTTAAAGTTCAAGTTTTTCAATGTGCATTTTGATGATTTGTCCATTGATGTTGTTTGCAACAGCTGTTGTGTAGATGTGCTGAATAAAAATAGATTATAATACGTTTTTGACGTTAAAAAGTGTCATACATGTAGGTATAGGACAATTACGTGTGCTTTTACATGCATCAAGTGCACTTTGTTCATTTAAGTCAACATTATGCACACGTAGCAGTGTTGTGAGCAGCAAAAATTTGCAATTCAGCACTGACATGTACACCGAACTTCCAGAAGGAGGATTGTTGAGTCATTCATATCATGGACATTTGTGTAGATGGTTGTGTGAAGGATGGTAGAGTGTAGAATTTAATGTTTTGTTGGGATTGGACAAAACAGGACAAATTATAAGACTGTGACATTTACATTGAGTCATTTATATTTTGGCGTGTTTATTGACAGGACGTGCCGGGTATGTCACACGATTTGCTACAGCAACAACAGCAAATGCTGTACCAGCAACATCAACAACATCATCAGATAATACATCAGCAGCAACAGCTCCTTGCTGCTGAACAGCAGAGGCAGCAGCAGCTTCAGGAACAGCAGCACATTCTGGAACAGCAACAGCAGCAGCAGCAACTGTTTGAGGAGCAGCAGCGGCGGCACTTGGAACAGCTTCGGGCACAGCAGCTGGAGGACCAACAGCAGCAGCAGCAACAACAGCAGCAACAACAACAGGCACTGGCAGATCAGACTCGCCAGCAGCAGCTCCTGGAACAACAACGCCAGCAACAGCTAGAACAGCAAATGAGGGAGCAGCAGAAGGTGGAACAACTTAGGTTGGAGGAGCAGAAGCGGCAGCAGCAGCTGTTGGAACAGCACCGGCTTCAGGAGATAGAGCAGCAGCGTCAGCTTGAGCAACAGCGTCAAAAAGAGCGGGAGGAGGAAGAGAGGCAGCGGCTCCTCGAACAGCAGCGAGCAGCGGAGAGACAGCACAGCCTGCAACGTGCCGAGGAGGAGCGCCAGCGGCAGCTACTGGAGGAGCAGCAGCATCGTCAACGCCAATTGCAAGCCATGGAAGAGCAGCACCAGCAACAAAAGTTGTTGGAAGAGGAAAGGCAGAAGGCTCTGATTCAAGAACACCACCGCCTCCTGCAACAACAACAGCAGCAAGAGTTGGAAGAACAGCAGCGCCAGCAGCAACAACGTCTAATGGAAGAGCAGCGCCAGCAGCAACTCATAGCAGAGCAGCAGAGGTTGCTGGAGGAACAGCAGCAGCGAGAGGAGGAAGAGAGACGGCAACAACTGATCATGGAGCAGCAGAGATTGATCGAGGAGCAGCGTCAGAAACAGCTGGAAGAACAGCGCCGACAACAGGAAGAAGCCATGCAAAGGATGGAAGAGGAAAAACGCAGACAGCAGGAAGAAGCAATGCTGCGAATGGAAGAGGAAAAACGG